CGAGAGGGCATTCTGCAAAGTTGCTGTCCTTCGGCAGCTCCTGTGTTCAGCATGTGGCCCCTGGTGGTCAATGTGTGTCATACCTACCGACCGGTTGGCGGTCACTTAGCCTTTTATATATATAGACTAGAGGCCCAGTGCACAAAAATCTGTACACTGGGGGCGGGGGGGGATCCCTCAGCCCGGCCTGTGCCCTCTCACAGTCTGGGACCCCTCAGGGGATGACCACCTGCTGTCTTAGGCCCGCTCCCAGGGGGATCAGGCCTAAGCTGGCAGTCAGACATCCTTCTGGCAGCCTGGCAGCCCTCAGGGGATGTCCACTTGCCAGTGGGCAGCAGGCCTAAACTGAAGTCGGACATCCTTAGCGCTGCTGAGGAGGCAGGAGGGGCTCCCACCACCACCGCTGTACTGGCAGCCATCAGCCTGGCTTTTGGCTGAGCAGATCTCCTCCCATGTGAGAGCGCCCTGACCACCAGAGGGCAGCTCCTGAATTGAGCGTCTGCCCCCCGATGGTCAGTGTGTGTCATAGTGACCAGTCATTCCCAGTCGTTCTGCTGTTAGGGTCAGTTTGCATATTACCCTTTTACTATATAGGACAGAGGCCTGGTGCCCTGAAGGGTGTCCCGGATCAGGGTGGGGGGTCCCGCTTGGGTGCCTGGCCAGCCTGGATGAGGGGATGATGGCTGTTTGCAGCTGGTCACACCCCCTTCAGGGAGGGGGTACCCACTGGTGTGCCTGGCCAGTCTGGGTGAGGGGCTGAGGGCCGTTTTCAGGCTGGCGGGCAACTGAAGCCCCCAGCCTCTCCTTTTTTTCTGTTTTGTTTTTGTTTTTGTTTTTTTTATTCTGGGATTTATTTACTTTCTATAGCTGTCACTGGAGCTGAGAGCAGGCTCCAGCTCTGAGGCTGTGGCTAATTGAAACATTGTTGCCATCACTGCCACTCTAAGCTCTGAGGCCAAAGCTGGCTGGAAGCAGATTTCTGGAGCTTGTTTAGCTACTATAATTGCAACATTGTTTCTTAGACTGCAGCTCAGAGGCCGGCAGCGGCAGGTGGGGAACGTTGGCTTCCTCCATCACTGGAGCAAGCAAGCCTCCTGTTCGCTTCAGCTGCCTGGCTGCCAGCCGCCATCTTGGTTGGCAGTTAATTTGCATATCTCGCTGATTAGCCAGTGGGAAGGGCAGCAAAGTTACGGTTAATTACCATGTTTCTCTATTATTCGATAGGATGGTTGGGTTACCAAAGAGATCAAAGAAGAAATAAAAAACATCCTGGAAACAAATGACAATGAAAACACAACAATCCAAAATTTATGGGACACAGTGAAAGCAGTCCTGAGAGGGAAGTTCATAGCATTACAGGTTTACCTCAAAAAAAAAACAACAAGAAAAAGTGGTAATAAATTATCTAACTCTACAACTTAAAGAATTAGAAAGAGAGCAACAAGAAACGCCCAGAGTGAGAAGAAGGAAATAATACAGATCAGAGCGGAAATAAATGACATAAAGATTAAAAAAAAAATACAAAAGATCAATGAAACCAAGAGCTGGTTCTTTGAAAGGATAAACAAGACTGATGAACCTCTAGCAAGGCTCACCAAGAAGCAAAGAGAGAGGACCCAAATAAACAAAATCAGAAATGAAAGAGGAGAAATAACAGACCCCACAGAAATACAAAGGATTGTAAAAAAATACTATGAACAACTCTATTCAAAAAAACTGGTCAACCTAAAAGAAATGGGCATATTCCTAGAAAAATGCAACCTTCAAAACTCAATCAGGATGAATAAAAAAATCTGAATAGGCTGATAGCTATGGAGGAAAATGAAGCAGTAATTAAAAAACTTCCAGCAAATAAAAGCCCTGGGCCAGACTGCTTCACAGGGGATTTTTACCAAATATTCAAAGAACTAAAACCTATCCTCCTGAGATTCTTCCAAAAAATTCAAGAGGAAGGAACACTTCTAAGCTCTTTCTATGAAGCCAGCATTGCCCTAATCCCCAAACCAGATAAAGATACTAAAAAGAAAGAGAATTACAGGCCAATATCTCTGATGAACATAGATGCTAAAATCCTCAACAAAATCCTAGTAAATCAGATCCAGGATTACATTAGAAAGATCATACACCATGACCAAGTGGGATTTATTCTGGGGATGCAAAGATGGTACCGTATCTGTAAATCAATAAACGTGTTACATCACATAAACAAATTGAGAGACAAATATCAATTAATGCAGAAAAAACATTTGACAAAATTCAACACACTTTCTTGATAAAAACTTTCAGCAATGTGGGAATAGAGGGATAATACCTCAACATAATAAAAGCCTTGTATGACAAATCTACAGCCAACATCATACTCAATGGGCAAAGACTAAAACCATTTCCCCTAACAATAGGAACAAGACAGCGATGCCCACTCTTACCACTCCTGTTCGGCATAGTACTGGAAGTGCTAGCCATAGCGATCAGACAAGAAGAAGAAATAAAAGGCATCCAAATTGGAAAAGAATAAAACTGTCATTACTTGGAGATGACATGATATTGTACATAGAAAACCCTAAAGACTTCATCAAAAAGCTACTTAACAAATGAATTCCGCAATGTAGCAGGATACAAAATTAACACCCAGAAATCTATGGCTTTTTTATACACCAATAATGAACTCACAAATAGTGAAACTAAAAAAAGAATACCAGAGCACCTGTCACTGGCTACATGCACTTCCTGAACCAGAGGCAAGAGCAGATTCGCACGCACCACCCATACCTGCCCTTTCCTGAGATCATCAAGATGCTGGGTGCCGAGTGGAGCAAACTGCAGCCCACAGAGAAGCAGTGGTACCTGGATGAGGCCCAGCGGGAGAAGCAGCAGTACATAAAGGAGCTTCGCGCTTACCAGCAATCAGAAGCCTACCAGGTGTGCACCGAGAAGATCCAGGAAAAGAAGATCAAGGAAGAGGACTCAGGCTCCGGGCTCATGAATACCCTCTTGAATGGACACAAGAGTGGGGACTGCAATGGCTTCTCTACCTTTGATGTCCCCATTTTCACTGAAGAGTTCTTGGACCAAAACAAAGCTCGGGAGGCGGAGCTGTGGCGCCTGCATAAGATGAACGTGGCCTTCGAAGAGCAGAATGTGGTGCTGCAGAGGCACACCCAGAACATGAGCAGCGCGCGAGTGCCTGGAGCAGGAGCTGGCGCTGGAGGAGCGGCGGACGCTGGTGCTGCAGTAGCAGCTCCAGGCTGTACGCCAGGCGCTCGCTGCCTGTCCTTGGCACCTGCGAGACGCCCACACTCAGCACACTGGACTCAATATGACTCAGCTGCATGGAGCCATTGAGTGGGACCCCGCCCAGCACAAGAAGTTCGTGGTCCGCATCAAGAAGATCCTGGCCCAGGTTGCCAGTGAGCACCTATGAAGGAGTTGGTCAGCTCGTGGGGATCCAGAGAAGACCAAGCTTTGCTCGTGGTCCCCACCCCATGCAGGAGGGACGGGGGTCCACCCTTTGGAGCCAGGCCCAATCCTGCACCTTGGGAGCTCCAGCCCCTAACATTATTCTACACCATCCCCTAGCTTTCAACCTCCCCAGCACCACAAATCCAGAAAAGTCACCTGCCATGCACAACACACATAGAACCCCATGGCCTCATAGAGCATGTCATACTACAGGGCAGTGGGAACACCACACATGGGCAGCATGACCCAGGACACAAGGGGACCAACAGCAGCTCTCCACACTGGTGTAGGGAGGGTGACACAGGCTACAGTGGCTCTAGGGATCTGCCCCAGGACACAGGGCAGTGAAAACCCATACCTGACACACAAGGAGGGACTCCCCGAAGGTGCTGACCACAAGTGCCCCACACAAGCAGGCACACTGCAGGACATGCTCTCATGCTTGGGTGAGAGCCTTCTGCCTGTGGCCCTGGACTTCCTGCACTTCAGAATGCAATAAACAAATTCCTAAAAAAAATAAACTTATTCAAACTGACACAAGAGCTAGAAAACCTGAATAATTCTATAAGCTTTAAACGTTCCCACAAGGAAAATATTCCAACAACATTTGTCAAATATCTTCTTCCCATTTATCATATATTTGTCAACACAAACCCTAAACTTGGCAACTAGAACCACTGCCAAAGCTGGACAAAATGTTACAAGTTTGTTTCTTTTACAAGGCTAATGCTGTCTCATACTTTGTTTTACATATTAATAAATGTGTAGGACATGAAGATTTGCTTTGCCTATAGAGCTCCTGGCATGTGAAGGAAATATTGCATAGACTAAAGAGCACTGACATGGGAACCAGATCTGGGAATTTTAGTCCTTGGTCTACCACTTACTTGCTGTGAGATTTGAATAATCCCCTTCAGCTACAAAACTCAATGACATTTACCTGCAAAAGTTAAGTATCTTTGCTATTAAAAGCAAATAATCAGTTTTCATATGGTTTATTTTCCACAAAATTTTTATGTAATTGAGAATATGCATTTAGAAATTTCTAGCTATATTTATGTAAAATAGCTTTCACTTTTTTCATTTCTCTCTTTTATTTTATTCCCCAAATAATATATGCCTTAAGCAACTTTAATTTCAGAATGCCTTAGAGGACAAAACTAAGCCACTATAGGGAGGATAAAGGCAAGTAAAACATTACTTCTTATATTTATAAACCACTTTATTGATTGGAAAGTGAAAGATGAAATGATTTTATTGTAATTTACTAATCAAATGATAGAAAGGAAAGTTTCAAATCACAAACTAAAAAAATTTTTCTGATAACAAGTATAAGGGGGTAGTTATTAAACTAAAACCATCATAAACTAAAAATATAAAATACTAAAGGATTACATGTAATAAAATTTAAAAACTAAGTATAAACTTTAAAAACCATTTTTAAGAAGAGTAAGTTTTAAAGAGCTAAAAGTCAGTACAGTATATTCAATATTAAAGACAAAAATCTGTATTACAAATTAAAAATACTGAGAGGTACTTACCTGACGAAATATCTCCGTGACAAAGTTTACGTTACTTCTTTTAGAAGAAAAAACTCTGCGAACTATTTCAATGTCTGTGAGATGTTCCTCATCAATACTACAGAGGCTAGATGAGCTAGGTTCTCGCTCCGTCAGAGTGCTTGTATTAGAATGAGACTGTTCTGGTTCTGTAGTTCTATCTGTTTTATCAGTATTATCATTCTTGTTTTCTTCTCTGGATACCAAACTAGCTGCTGCTCTCTAAAATAAAAACAAAATGGGGAAAATATAATCATTAACTAGGTATGTTGTCTTCTAATAACAAATACTGGCAGAATCCAAAGAATTTATTCTTAACTAGAGGCCCGGTGCATGAAAATTCATGCACTGGAGAGGGGTCCCTCAGCCCAGCCTGCCCCCCCTCACAATCCAGGAGCCCTCAGGAGCAGGAGGTGACCCGGCGATCAGGGGAAGGAGACGCCCCATCACACCTCTGCTGCTGCCACTGCTGGCAGCACAAGCCTCGGCCGGCCCTGGTTACCTGCGCCTCAGGCGGCCCTGGGCAGCTGAGGGGACTGGGGGACTCTGGAGGCAGGCACGTGGAGCGGCCAGGCCTGCGAACTAGCGGGGCTGAGGGGACTGGGTGCCACCATCTTTGAGGGCGTAGCAGTAAAATTAGCATATTCCCTCCTTATTGGCTGTGGGCGCCTCCATCTTTGCAACTGCGTGAGGGTCAATTAGCATATCCCTCTTTATTAGATAGGATAATTAAGTGGCAATACAAGTGATTCAACATCTAAGTGACACAGTGATAGTTGCCACTAGTCATCTACCCGTCTATAATTAGATTTGTTTTTCAGCATGTCTGTAGTACAAATAAGTTACTAATTAAAGCTGGGTAAGAAATTAATGCAGATGGAGTTAGCTCAGAACTTCAATCATAAATAAAAAAAAACATAACACTGGACTGTCTGTTCAATAAAACCTTAATGTTATAAAATCATCTCTAGACAAAAATTACGCAAGTAAAAACTTTTTAAACAAAAAACAAAGAAATTGAAGAAAATTTATAACAGAAATAGAAATGAAGCCAAAAGGTTTTTTAGAAAAGTCTATATTCTAATAAAAATAAAATTTTTACCATGACTGAAGATGAAAAAGTAAAAGTGTTAAGGTGGTGATGAAGAAATGACTACCACGGTGTATGATAGGAGAAGCACTATTGTGGTAAGTAACATAAATTACTTTGGTAAGTTACTCAATTTTTGGTCTCAGTTTTGCCATCTATCTAAAATAAGAAGCTTTTAGGTAAATAATCTCAATGCCATCCCAATAAAAAAAACCTATGATTTTAGACTAGTAAGTTCTGAGATCAGAAAAATAGTTCTCCTTGAGAGTTTCCACATTTAATAATTCTTATTAGAGAACAAAGTTTTGGGGAAAACACACACATAGCCACATAATAGAAGGCTAAGGGGACTATAAGTCAAATTTTCTAAATGCTAGTAAACTAATAACACATTATAACTCCACTTAATTTTTAAAGATTTAAGAAATCATACAAAACACACACACAGTATAAGGTTTTTAAAACTAAATGAGAAAATCTGAGAAAAGAAAAATAAAATAGTAATATGGACAAGTTCAGGAAAATGTACATTGAGGGGAAAATTAAAAGTGGAAAAAGAGGAAAACTTTAATTAAAAATAACAGATTTTTAAATATTAGCTCTGCCTTTGTGGAACTGTATACTTTTACATAACATTTCTGGACTCTGTGTTTATTAAAAACAACAACAAAAGGAATAAAATGGTGACAGAATTTTAAATCAGCATTCTATGAATGCCTAGAAATCGAACAAGAATTATAAAGGTCCTACAGCCATTTGATTGCAAACTGTTTCCAATTGCAGGAATTTATTGCAAAATTCAGAATATTTTTATTCATACAATTCAGGATATTTTTAGTACTATAAAATTAACATAAACTACAGAAATAAATTAAAAGCTGAGACTCAGCTCTAGCTGGTGTGGCTCAGTTGGAGCATTGTCCATACACCAAAGGTGGCAGGTTCGAGTCCCTATCAAGGCACATATCCAGGTTCCGGGTTCAATCACTGTCCTCCGGGCTCATGCAGGAGGCAACCAATCGATGTTTCTTTCTATAGCTCTCCCTTACTCTCTATAAAATCAATAAAAATCGTTTAAGAAAAAAAAAAAGCTGAGACTCAGAAATGACTGAAATTATCTTCTATACCTTAAAAGTCTTATATGTTTGCTAAGAAAATTATTGGTCCTATAATTATTTATAAAATATATTATAAAATATATTTATACAAAATAAATATTATTATTTTATTTAAATGTGTTCGACACCTAAAGCAAATCAGTGGACAAATCTCTTAAGCCATTTCTAACTTTAGAAAGTTATGAGTGTATTACCTGAATATTCTTTGGCAAGATTTCACCTTCCATCCCAGGAATATGAGGTCCTGTATGTGGCTTTGGCTCAAGCCAGAAAGAAACCAGCCAACGAATGACAATAACACGAGCCTTAATGAAAGGCTCCTTCGTACAATATATTGCTTCATTTGTTTCAGCATCCTTTTTTATCATGACATAATGTGGCTTTGGTCTCATCTGTGGAATATCTGTGCAAAATAAAAGGGGAAGAAAACAAAATAAGAAAGGAAATATGCTTAGATAAATCTACATTTTTTAAACATTTGAGAAACCTCTATGACGATACCCTGATTTTAGAAGTAGATTTAGCACAAAATGACATTTTAAAATAATTTGCACCCTGGTGGTTTGGCTCAATGGATAGAGCCTCGGCCTGAGGACTGAAGGGTCCCAGGTTCAATTCCAATCAAGGTACATGCCTGGGTTGCAGGCTCAATCCCCAGTGGGGGACATGCAGGAGGCAGCTGATCAACGAATCTCTCTCATCCTTTATATTTCTGATTCTCTCTCTCTCTCTCTTCCTCTCTGAGATCAATAAAAATATATTTAAAAACAAATTTTAAAAAATTTGCTACATATAAGCATAGACTCTAGAAGAGTAAAACCATACATTGCTGATATATAGAAACATGTCCTTTTGAAAAATATCATGAAAAGGCTCAATGAATTCTCTCTAAGAGCAGAGAAACTTCAAAGTCATTTAAAATTAATGAAAGCTCATTTCAATTAACCTAAAATTGAGACATATTTTGAAGTTATACAAAACATGACATTTTTTTTCTTGATTTTTAAAACAAATAATATTCCCAGTGGCAAAGGCTTGCTATCTTGACTAATTTATTTCTACTAGCCATAATGGTTTTGCCTATACCTGTTAGTTGCCTAAACTTGGCAGAGCTTAAAATAGAAACATCTTTCTCAAAAAGGACATTTTCACATAGAGCTACCAATGCTTTCTATATATAGCAGATGTCTGCTTCTAACCCAGGATTTTCCCACGAGACTCTAGCTTTGAGGCTCCAACAGACATCTTGTCACTGCTACTAAATACTGGACAAGTCATGATCAAAATATATGACAATGTAATTATTCATAAATAATTTGAGTAAGATATATTAAATTGAACTCCTGGGGAACCTTAAAAAGAAGATTTGTAACATACTGAGACCTATCTCAACCAACAGGTGAGATCCAGAGAATAAGCTTTTTTAAAAAAAAAAATCTCTTCACTCATAAAAATGTCCTAGTAATAAGTTTCCACTTTGGATATAATCTACATCTCTAATCAATCAATACAAATATTAAATATTATCAGTTTTCTGCAGGTAAAAATGTCAACTTTACACTGAGGTATGTTTAATTCTTAACTTTACATTGAGGTATGTTTTATTCTTATGCATGATCTTTTAGCAAATTCCAAAGGCTACCTACCAAGTACAGGATGATATAAACTGCTCTCCTTGCACATGTTTGGAAAAATATAAGACAAGTAGTACTTCTTAAAATGTGAAAACAGAAATGAAAATCCCCTTTCTTGATTTTCTTTGTTCTTCCATTCTAAACTTTTTACCTAAAAGACACAATTAGAATCATTCCAGGAAAAGGAAACAATTATCTATAATAAACAAACTTATAAAAGGTTACTTAAGCAATATACTAAACTATTACACTATGAAGATACACACACACACACACACACACACACACACACATATATATATATTTATGTGTGTGTGTGTGTGTGTGTGTGTGTGTGTATTTTAAAAACTGGTCTAATGACACACAAATACATTATATTCCAAAAAATCTTAGAAGTTAAAATGTGCTCTGAAAAGCTGTCAAAGTTTATTTAAAACTCAGATACTAATGTTCTTTCCTCTTTGCCTTTTCTAGAATAATTCAGTCTAAAAGTTATACAAAATATGTGAGGAGGTGGGGGATGTAAAAGCAGTGGCCACCAAGTATAGGTAAATAGAGCCTGACCACAGGAAGTAGGGAATCCATAATGGGAGTACAGCAGAGATAGCAGTAGCCTAGTGGGGACTCAGAGTCTAAGAGAGATGAGATGAGGACAGTATTCATGAAGTGGGGGGAGACTGGGGTTGGGGAGGAGCAGGAGGAAACACGGCAGTAAAATATACCATGTGAGAATTCCAGTAGGGTGAGAAAGTTACCTAAGTAGGGGGATGGTAAAGGCAAAAAGTAGGCCAGAATGAGATATCACTATATAATCACTTTAGAATGGCTAAAATTACAGACTGACCATACCAACTGTTGGTTAGGACGGGAATCAACTTTAAGTCTCATACATTGCTGGCAGAATGTAAAAAGGTATAACCATTTGGAAAACAGCATGGCAGTGTCTTAAAAAGTCAATACATACCAACTCTTCAACCCAGCCATTCCACTACTAGGTATTTATCCAAGGAAAAGAAAAGTTTATGTCCACACAAAGACCTGTTCACCAATATTCATAGCAGTTTTACTAGTAATAGCCAAAAACTGGCACAAGTCACATTACCATCAGCAGGTGGCTGGGTAACAAATTATGGTATATCACTAAAATGGAAAGCTACTCAGCAATAAAATAGACCAAATTACTAATACATACTATATAAATAATTTTCAAAATAATTATGATTAAAAAAACCAGACCAAAAGAAAGCATATACTATATAATTGCATTTATATGAAATATGGAAAAAATGCAAACTAGAAAGACAAAAAATCAGATCAGTAGTTGCCTGGGGATGGGGCAGTAGAAAAGGATGGATTACAAAGGGATCCAAGAACTTTTAATGGTATAGATGGGTTCATTATCTTGACTGTGATGATGGTTTCATGGGTGTATACAAGTAATAAAATTAATAATATACATTTCAAACATTGCAGTTTATTGTATGTTAATTATATCTCAATAAACCAGTACAACAATTTTAACACTCTTTATTAAGTACAAAAGTATTTTAAAAGCAAAACAAAACTGATAATACTAATGATAGTAAAAACTTCCCACTATAGCCCAGAAGGTGTTGCTCAGTGGTTGAGCACTGACACATGAACCAGGTCACAGCTGGATTCCTGGTCAGGGCACATGCCCGAATTGTGGGCTCGATCCCCAATAGGGGGCATGCAGGAGGCATCTGATTGATGATTCTCTCTCATCACTGATGTTTCTATCTTTCTCTCCCTTTCCTTCCTTCTCTGAAATCATAAAAAAAAAAACAACTACCCACTATAGGACATTTTTTTATTCTAAGTTCTTTACACTAATTATTTAAGCCTCAAACACCAAAATGAGATAGGCATGATTTTTATGTTTTAAACACAAAGAAGTAGTCTGTCAAAGGTCACACTATGGCAAGATGTAGAACTAGGTCTGAAACCCCAGCAAACTCATTCAGAATCCTCGTAACATTTGAATCATAGAGAATTTTTGTGTTTGGAACAGTTACAAGAAATGTGTATGCGCTAAGAGCGTTTCCATCAGTCAGGACATGCCCGTTTCATGTCTACAGATAAATAGGTTGCTTTACAAAATACATGCACCTGACCAAGCCAACATGGCTCAGTGGTTGAGCTTCGACCTATGAACCAAAAGTCAAGGTTCGATTCCCATTCAGGGCACATGCCTGGGTTGTGGGCTCGATCCCCAGTGTGGGATGTACAGGAGGCAGCAGTCAATGACTGTCTCTCATCATTGATGTTTCATCTCTCTCCCTCTCCCTTCTTTTCTGAAATCAATAAAAATATATTAAAAAACAAAAACAAAATATATGCACTTGAAAATTTTAAAAGTACAACTAGGTTTAAGAGCAAATTACATTTCCCCACTCCCACCCCATCCTCAGCCCACCTCTCTAGTTGCTGCCTCTTGGCAGACTGTTCCTTAATCAAAGATATTAGATTTGCATTTAAAGTACCACAGCTGCTAATTATAAATGAAAGTATTAGAAAGTAAACTCAATTGACTCACATAAGAAGGTATATACATGAAAAGTCTACTATAAAAATTTCTCCTTCTAGCTTCCTTTCTAAGAGCTTCATAATGTCTCCAATAATTTTTATTTCAGAAAAGACATATTAACGTATTTTCAAAAGTAAAAATTTGTTACTCCTTCTTTAGGATAATAAGCAAATATCTACTATAACAGAATAATGGTAAAAGAGGGGAAGGGGGATTACCCACACAGGATAATAATGGGGTAATATCAAAGAAAATAACATGTACCTGAATTACTATATATTTTAAAAGTGCTTCAAGAAAATAGCTTGTGAGATCTTCTTGTCCTTTATCTCCTGATTGTGGGGGAACAAGAGGAGTGATTTCCTCTATAGTAACTTGAGCTATCCAAAGACAAAATAAATAAATAAATAAATTTAACAATGCAATAATATAACCCAAATAACATTTAATTGCAAAACATATGCAATACTGCTTGAAAACAGTCTAATGATTAAACCTTGAAATAAATCTGTCATTCTGATAGTCCATCACAACAATCATAAACTTTAATAATCAACTCTTTCATGAACCCTTGATTGAGGGAATGTAACACAGGACTAGACAAAGAGATATGTAGGAATTATGAGTAAATAACATCTCACCCTTGCTGGTTTAGCTCAGTGGATAGAGGGTTGGCCTGCGGACTAAAGGGTCCTGGGTTTGATTTCAGTCAAAGGCACACACCTCGGTTGTAGGCTCAATCCCCAGCCCTGGTCGGGGCTAGTGTGGGAGGCAACCAATCAATGTGTCTCTCTCACATCAATGTTTGTCCTTTCTGTCTCCCTCCTTTCCACACTCTCTAAAAATCGATGGAAAAATATCCTTAGGTGAGGATTAACAAACAAACACACACACACACACAGACATACACATTCAAAAAAAGAGTAAATAAAATCTTACTTGGGAAAGACCTTCTCACGTTATTTTAAAGTTCACATTAAGAGCATCTATTACAAAAGTTCCATAATAAGATGAGAAACATAAATAAGAATGTGCTCATTCATCAATGAAAAGACAATCTGATTACTCTAGGTCAATGGTTCTCAACCTTCCTAATGCCATGACCCTTTAATACAGTTCCTCATGTTGTGGTGACCCCCAACCATAAAATTATTTTCGTTACTACTTCATAACTGTAATTTTGCTACTGTTATGAATCGTAATGTAAATATCTGATATGCAGGATGTATTTTCATTGTTACAAATTGAACATAATTAAAGCATAGGGATTAATCACAAAAACAATATGTAATTATATATGTGTTTTCTGATGGTCTTAGGCGACCCCTGTGAAAGGATCGTTCAACCCCCAAAGGGGTCGCGACCCACAGGTTGAGAATCGCTGCTCTAGGTAAAGACCATGCTTACTGTTTAAGGTAGCCCCTTTATTCAAAGGATGAAATACTAATTTCCCTCTCAAAAAAAAAACAAAAACACGAAAAATTAACATCTTAGTTCCTTGATTGCAAAAGTGCACTTATAAAATAAAAAACTTTGATATATTTTTACTTCTCAGATGTTCAAAAATATTCATGATAACAAAAGCAAATTCAAGAAAAAGCAACCCACAACTAGCTGAATTCTTTTCAATGTTTAGTAAGTAGCAGTACCTGATTTAGTACAGGCAGATCTCTAAATCTATTCCTCAATAACTATCAGCTAAGTAATTAAGCTCACAGAAATCAATTTTTTTTTTCACAATCCTCTTTGTACCAAGTGAAACACACTTGTGCTTTTTAAAAAATGAATGTTTTTTATTAACTTTTAGAGAGAGAGGAAGGGAGAGGAATAGAGAGAAACATCATTCAGAGAGGAACATCATCAACCAGCTGCCTCCTGCATGCCTCCTACTGGGGATCAATCCTGCAACCCTGGCATGTGCCCTGACTAGGAATCCAACTGTAACCTCTTGGTTCCTGGTTCAACACTCAACCACTGAGCCACATGGACTGGGCCATACATGTGCTTTAATGCACATCTAAATTAACTCAAGGATTCAAGATGATATGTGAAAATCAGATATTAGAGATAAATGTAAACAGCCTATATTAACTATGTATTTTTGATGCTTTGACACCAGGGCCTTGATGGCCCTGGACAGAATCTCTCTTCCACAACTACTTATTTCTCAGAGATAGTAAAGATAGGCCTGACAGTTCACCTTTTATATGCAAACCAATCAACCCAGAACTCACACCTCCACTGCCTCCTCTACTTGGCTCACACTCAGGGCCACTATTCCTCTGACCCAATCACCTTAGGGCCAAGAACCAGACAACTAGGGACAACTCACCTCCCTCACACCATCCGACTAACCCTGGTGCTTCCCAGTATGGCCAACCTCCCTAGTGTGGCATGCCCTCTCCTCTTAGGAACTCTGAATAACAAAATATTTTTTTTTAATGGCAACTGTCTCCTGATCTGTTGTTGGCCTCATCATACCTGAATAATAATGAAACCCTACATTTTAAAATATGGCCTTGGATTACTGTTAATAAATGTACAGATTTAAAAATATATATATTATCAAACTACACAGAAAATTTTAAATACTAATGTATAAGATCTCATAATCTTACTTTCTTGAAGATTGAGTGGAGGATTAATGAGATTATCTAAAGTTCGAGGTCCATATTCGGATTGTGGTGCAGAAAATCCAGGGATTAAGCATGAAAACATCCAAAGCTGCTCTTTGCTACAGTTACTTTGAAGAGCTTGCAACCATAATAAGAAAAGACGAACACCTTCCCGCCTGATCTAAAATAAAATGAAAAACAGTATTTTTACTTATCATGGAAATACTTTCTTCTTTTTAAGGCCAAAATCCTCTAGAACAGGATTACATAATGATGCTTTGCAAAAGATAGATAGGAAAGGTAGAAAGAAGGTGGAAGGAGAAAGAGAGGGAGGGTGGATATAACACCCATGACCTTTCTTAAACCCTCATTATCTGTAAATCTAAATTCAAAAGATTTTGTACAAATAAAGAATGAACTTGGCCTATAACAACTTAAAACCATCAGGTAATTTTTTATTTTACAATTTCCAATTGTAAAAAAAATCAGAAAATCATTTCCTTCTTGTTTACTTCCCTCTCCTTCCCTCCTTTACATAACCCCTAGTCTAATCTAAGCAGCAAGAAGAGAGAGGGCAATTACAGTTCCTTGCTATAATGAATTCACTAAGAGGAGGAATGATTATGGGGATCTTGGTGAGCTAACTTGCTATTGTTCTTAAAAAGTTTTTCACTGTCTGAAATTATCTCATTTACTTATCATTTGCTGCTGAGCTGCAAAACAGGAATTTTGGCCTATTACTATATACTAAGTACCTAGAACAATGCCCTGTACACAAAAGACAATAAATATTTCAATCAATGAATGGAATTCTCTCTCAGGAAAAGTTTTTTTAATTCAACTCAGATAAGCAAAACACAAAGTTCTTCAATAATCTAACCTCACTGTTAGCTTTGGAAATTACCCTAACCCAGCTCTGTTAATGACCACCGTCATTTATTTAACTGCTTCCACCTCATGGTTTAGCCAGACAGCAGAATAAAGATATAGGAAGGCTTTTTCCTTTGTACTGATACAACCACGTCTTGATGCCAAAAGTACCTACCATATGACTTTTATCTAACCTACAGCAAGATACTTTTGACTGGGTAGCTTCCCTTACCAGAGTACAAGGAGATAATAAAAAAGAAAAAAAATTTATGTACATTCCCTACTTTCCTCTACAACTAAGAATAACTGTGATAAATGCAGAATAATTTGCTGAATGACTAATCTTTGTCTTCTGGAGACCACAGAATAAAGTATTTCTGGCAGTGGCAAAAGTAAAATAGTTGTGTGTTTTTAACAATAGTTTTCCAATAGACTGGTCAACCTAGTATGTATTTTCATATTGAATATGTTGCTATATTTTAAGTGAATTCAGTTCAATTAAGTGGACTACAGACAATTCAAAATTATTTAGAAAAAAGTAGATATAGGAAAATTACTATATGCTTTAGTTTTTAAAAAGTCATAGAAAAGAAATATAATAATATACCTTCAAGGAGTTTCCTGTGTGAAGTAGTTTCTTTAAAATCAATCCTGAAAAGAAAAAATTATTTTAAATATTCACATCTTAATTTTTCTAAATGTCAGAGTTCTCGGTCAGACTTGAAAACACTTTAAAACAAGTCCTTGGCAACCTCCAAATTATTCTTGGTGACCTTGCTGTCCCTCTGGCCATAATCTTGGGGCCAGAAGGGTATATAAAAAGTCACCTTTTTAACATGTGGCTTACTGAAATTAAACATGATATCATCTACTGAAACAAATTCTAAGCCCCCAAATTATATTTAATACAACAATCTATGTATATGTCTTATTTATATTGAGAATATAATTAAATATTTCTCCATCACTAATTCAAATAAAAAACCACTACAGAAAATTTAAATTTAGTTAAGCACATAAACATCTATAACTCTAATATTTTCTAAAAAATATTTCCATTGTATTTTTTCAAAATGTTCAAAACCATCAAGATATTCAAAACCTTATTTTTTCTTTTAAATTACACGTTTCAAAACAACAATAAAATACTGAACAATAAAGAAAAAAATAAGAAAATACTGAAATAACATTAACATAAACCCACAGGTCCCCATTTTTATGAACCAATGTCAACAGTCCCATATTTCGTATACTTTCAAAAATTCATTTGTTCATATTATTTATAATGCTTTGCCTAACAGTACAAGTATCACTGAAGTCTCCTGTGAACCCATTCTGAGTCATTTTCCAGAAGAAACCATTACCCAGATTTTAGTATTATTTCCAAAAATATTTTATATTATCACTACTTATTTATAAGTCCATAAAATATATAGAATTGTTTTATATGTTTAAAAACTTATACCAGTAACAAGAATTTGTTCCACAGCTATTTGTTCTAATCCTGCATTTTTTTTATTTGTTCTAGGAACATTTACTAGTATATATAAATGATCAAGCCTGTGACTTTATTTGGTTTAAATTTCATTTGTCATATAAAAATAAGGTTTAATGTTTCAACAAATTGTGTTGATTTGTCTGCATTCCCTTCCTTATGTTTGAACAAATTCAATTTCTTAAAGTAATACTATGTAAACACCAGTCATCAGCTCTCTTAAAAATCTATTAACGCAGTTTGGTATCATGTATTGGATCCTGGAACAGAAAAAGAACATAAGTGGAAAACTAATAAAATCTGAGTAAGTTCAAAGTTTAATTAATTGTAAAAACAAAACAAAATCTTATATATGTGATACATACAAAACAAGTCATTCTATAGAAGTTGCTTTTCACATCCAACCTTACCTTCTGAAATTTATATTGATGTGTGTACTCTAGTTAATTCGTTTTAACTGCTGTATTATTCTATTACATTGTGTGAATATACCATTTATCTTCTTAATGTTAGGACATTTGGCTCATTTTCAAAATTTTGCTATTCCCAAGAATATTATCGTAAATGTTACTGTTCATGGCTCACTGTGTGCATGCGTTTCCCCCGAATACAAAACCAGGGACAAAAGTACTCCCTTTCAGCTTTCCTAAGTATTGACAAACTCTCTCCACACATCTGAGAAAACTACTCAGTGCGTAAGGGTGCTGTGGCAACACAAGAAACTGGCAAATGCTCTATTACCGCCAGTCTGATGAGTGTTAAATATCTTAATGTTTTCATTTGATAACTCCTAGTAATATTCAGCATCTTTTCATTTGGCCATTCGAGTTTCTGCAAATGGCCTGAAACATTTTTTGTATATTTTCCAGTTGGGTTATTTTGTTTTAATATGAGAGCTCTTCATACATACTGACTACTAATACTATGTCACTTCTATGAATTAGAAATATATTCTCCCGAACAACTCAGCCATATTTTTAACTGCGGGGATGGTATCTTCTGATGTACAAAAGTTTTACATTTCTATATAGTCAATTCAACATGTTTTTCTTTTTACATGTAGTTACTGTGTCTTACATGTAGTTACTACCCTACTTTAAAGTTACAAAGATAAACCACACAGTTTCTTCAAAAAATTAAAAATAGAACTGTCATTTGAGCCAGTGATCCCACTTCTAGGAATATATCCTAATAATCCCAAAACACCAGCCAGAAAGAATGTATGCACCCCTATGTTCATAGCAGCATTATTTACAATAGCTAAGATCTGGAAACAGCCCAAGTGTCCGTCAGTAGGTGAGTGGATAAAAAAGCTATAAAAAAGGAAGATCTATTATCCTTTGAGATAGAAGGGAGGGACATGAAGATTATGCTAAGCGAAAGAAGCCAATCAGAGAAAGACAAATATCACATGATCTCACTTATATATGCAATCTAATGAACAAAATAAACTGACGAATACAATAGAACCACTGGCGTGAAAACATGGAACAGACTGACTAATCACAGAGACAAGGGGAGGATGGTAAGAGATAAACTAAAGAATTTATATGCATATATGCATTGTCTGTGTCCATGGGCACAGACAATATAGGGTGGTGAAGGCCTGGGATGAGGTGGGAACCAGGAGGAAGGGGACAATAGGAGAAAAACGGGGAGACATCTCTAATACTCTCAACAATGAAGATTAAAGAAAAAAAAGTTTTGCAGTGTTGCTTTTCAAGTTTAGGTCCTGAAATTTATTTCTGTGTAAAGCAATAGAACTTTTTTTCCCAGATGGATAACCAGTTGCAACACTGATTCTTTCAGGGTTTATAATGAAATGCTATCACAATCATATTTCAAGTTTCCATTTATAAGCCTAGGTCTGTGGTGGGCCTCATTGTCCTTTTCCATTAGTCTATTTGTCCATCCTTACATCAATGATAGGGTCTTAATTATTAGAACTATATAATACATCTTATTATTGGGTATAGAAATATCCAACAATACCATCCTCCCCCTCTCAGTTGTTATACTTCCAAGTTACTTTGGCTTTAATTTTCCACATAAATTTTAGGATAAACATCTCAGCCTACATTAAAAAGTCTCTATAGGAATTCTGAATGAAAACTGTTATCTTTACACTATCCAGTCTATCATCCATGAGTACTGAGATTCCATTTACTCAAATCCTTTCTTATTCTTCAACTAGAGGCCCGGTGCACGAAATTCGGTCCCTCAGCCTGGCCTGCACTCTCTCGCAATCCGGGACCCCTTGGGGGATGTCCAACTGCCAGTTTAGGGCCAATCCTGCAGTCGGATATCCCTCTCGCAATCTGGGACCATTGGCTCCTAACCGCTCGCTCACCTGCCTGCCTGCCTGATCACCCCTAACCACTCTGCCTGCCTGCCTGATCGCCCCTAAGTGCTCACCTGCCTGCCTGATCGCCACTAACTGCTCGCCTGCCTGCCTGATAGCCCCTAACCATTCACCTGCCTGCCTGATCGCCCCTAACCACTCACCTGCCTGCCTGATTGCCCCTAATGGCTCACCTGCCTGCCTGATCTCCCCTAACCACTCTGCCTGCCTGCCTGAATGCCCCTAACCACTCTGCCTGCCTGCTTGATCACCCCTAACCACTCGCGTGCCTACCTGATCTCCCCTAACCACTCTGCCTGCTTGATCACCCCAAAACACTCGCCTGCCTGCCTGATGACCGCTAACCGCCTCTGCCTCGGCCCTTGCCATGGCGGCTTCATCTGGAAGTTCATTCGGCGGCCTGGTCTAATTAGTATATTATGCTTTTATTATTACTACTATAGATAATCATATCACTTCCATATACTAATGTAATCCTATCTAATAATAGACAAACATGGTAACTGACAGTACCTTCACTACGCCTCCCATGGGCTAATCAGCGCGATATGCAAATTAACCGCCAACAAAGATGGCGGCTAATTTGCATACTGCAGGCAGGGCGGGACAGCGCAGCTGCCAGCACAAGCCGCCATCCCGGGCCTCAGGCCAGCCCCAGAAGCCCCAGAAGCCGCCCAGAACCCGGTGATTGGGGGGAGATGGTGGTCCCCTGCCCTCTGGCGGAGGCGTCAGGCCTGGGAAAGGTGTCGATCCGGCGATCGGAGGGTGATGGGGTCGATGCCTCTGGCCGAGGCGTCAGGCCTGGGCGAGGGCGGAGCCGGCGATCGGGGGAAGATGGGGGTCCCCTGCCCAGGCCTGAAGCCTGGGCCAGAGGCATCAGGCCTGGGGCAGAGGGGGCAGCCAAGCCCGCGATTGGTGTGAACTACAGAGGAAACACCTTTTCTGACCGCTCATTGGTTAAGCTCCCTGTATGCCACTGGTAATATTCTTAGTAACTTGGGTAATAAGAATCCAAAAAGGTGATCTAGGGTTTTTCACCACATTCCTGGCGAAAAAAACGAATGTCTGCTGCTGGAGGGCTAAGAAATGTCATATCCTGCCCTAGCCGGTTTGGCTCAGTGGATAATGCCTTGGCCTGCCGATGGCAGGGTCTGAGTTCAATTCTGACCAAGGGCATGTACCTAGATTGCAGGCTCCTCCCTGGCCGGGGCCCAGGTCAGCGCTCATGCAGGAGGCAACCAATCAGAGTGTTCCTCTCACTTTGATGTTTCTCTCTGTTTTTCCCTTTCTCTTCCACATTCTCTAAAAATCAATGGAAACAAATCCTCAGGTGAGGATAAAATAAAAATAATAAAGAAATTATTATTATATGAAAGACACATCTTGAAAATGCCTAAGAAAGTTGTCATTTTTTCATGGTAAAGGGACGGGAGTCCATGTTGATGAAAATACCTTGGTGGCTACGGTGACTGGCAGTGGCTGCAGCAGCGGGGTGATGGGGCTGGTGCCTTCCCTGATCAGCCCAGTCACCTCCCACAAAGGGAGGCCAGACTGTGGCTTAGGCCCTATCCGCAAGGGGAGCAGGGAGCGGGCCGAAGCCGTCACTAGGACATCCCCTGAGGGCTCCCAGTATGTGAGAGGGGGCAGGCTGGGCTGAAGGACACCCCCCGCCCAGTGCACGAATTTCGTACACCGGGCCCCTAATATTTTAAATGAATACAGAATACACATTCTCAAGCACAATGCAACATTCTCCAGGAGATACTATATTCTGAACCACAAAATATCTCAAAAATGTTAAAAGCAGCAATACTATATCAAGTGTATTTTCTAACCACAAAAGAATTATTAGAAATCATACAGAAGAAAAAAAAACTAGGGTAATATCAAATATTTGAGAAGTTAAAGAAGAAAAACACTCTTAAGTAAGCCATATAGGTCAAAGAGACCAAATGAAATATTAGAAAATATTTTCAACTGAATGAAAATCAACTAGAGTTCCTGATTTATTTTCCTTTATATGTAAGACAAAAAAAACAAACAAAAAAAAAACACACAAGAGTTTTAGCATTCTTCAGAGTGACGAAGAAAAATAACCACTATGTATAATCTCAAGTTAGACATTTATTGGAATACTAAAGGCCTGGTGCATGGATTCGTGCACTGGTGGGGTCCCTCAGTGTGGCCTGTGGGGATCAGGCCGAAACCGGCAGTGCAACTCCGCCTGCCACTCCGGCCTGCCACTACCACTCATCCTGGACCCCCTGCGTCTGCCACGGGCTCGCGCCCAGTCAGTCCCAATCAGGAAAGGCTTGTGACATCGCAGAGGTGCTTGCCAGGCCTGAGCCCTGCGTCTGGCACCCATCAGTCAGCTGGGCGGCGCTCCAGTTGTGGGAGTGCACTGACCACCAGGGGGCAGCTCTTGCATTGGAGTGTCTGCCCTCTGGTGGTCAGTGCGTGTCACAGCAACAGTCAATTGGTCGCTTAGGGTTTTACGTATATAGATTATCCTAATATATAAAAAACCCAGGGTTCATAACGACTGACCAAAGGCTCGACCGAACAACAAAAATCAGTCCTGCAGTCAGTGCTGCCTGTGTGGGCACAGCGACCCAGCACTGACTGCCAAGGGGGCTGCGGATCAGACCCAGAGAGAGGCCGGGAAAGGCAGGGTCTGATCCGCAGCCTCCATGGCAGCTGTTGATCAGCCGTTGCCTCTTTCTTTCTCTCTGGGCTTCACCAGCAGCCTCGACTCTTTTTCTCTTTCTCTGCGGGCCTCTGCGGGGGCTGCTGATCAGACCCACCTCTGTGATCAAGCCCGAAGATAGGCCCGGAGACACTGACTGGCATAGAAACTGATCAATCAGAACCAAATTGACCGGCAGGGGAGGGCAGTTCGGGGCGAGATTAGCCTGCAGGGGAGGGCAGTTGGGGGTGAGATCAGCCCAGCAGGGGAGGGCGGTTAGGGGTGATCAGGCAGGCAGGGAAGGGCAGTTGGGGGCGAGATCAGGCTGGCAGCGGAGAACAGTTAGGGGCGATCAGGCAGGCAGGCAGAGGGGTTAGGGGCAATCAGGCAGATAGGCAGAGGCAGTTAGGAGTGATCAGGCAGGCAGGAAGATGAGCGGTCCAGATTGCGAGAGGGATGTCCCCCAAGGGGTCCCCAATTGGAGAGGGTGCAGGCTGGGCTGAGTGAACGCCTCCCACTCCATGCACAAATTTCATGCACCAACCCACTAGTTAATCATAATTAGATAGCCTACAGGTCCTATGGAGATTCCTTAGGAGACACAATAATCTTCTAAAGTTCAAATGTCTCAAAAAGTTGCTTCAAGACAACCTTCAAGGACATTTTTTATAAGATACAAAATAGGATTTCACTATTCCATTGAGCACCTTATTAGCAATTCATATGTCTTCTTTGGTATAATGCCCACATATTTTGCCTATTTTTAAAATTTGACTAATCTTATTATTGAGTTGTAAGAGCTCTTTATAAATTATGGATGCATTATTTTTAGTCTCAAACTTTTATCTAAAAAGTTTAGCCCTGACAGGTTTCACTCAGTGGATAGAGCGTCAGCCTGCAGACTCAAGAGTCCCAGGTTCGATTCTGGTCAAGGGCATGTACCTTGGTTGCGGGCACATACCCAGTGGAGAGTGTGCAGGAGGCAGCTGATCGATGTTTCTCTCTCATCGATGTTTCTAAGTCTCTATCCCTCTCCCTTCCTCTCTGTAAAAAATCAATAAAATATATTTAAAAAATAAATAAATAAATAAATAAAATTTATACTAAAAGGCTCTATTTTAGAATTTTAGCCCCTGTATCAATACCCCTTCTATATGTCCAAAGGTTGTTGTTTTTTCTGGAATTGCTAATTGGGATAGATTACAAAGTCTCAGAGATTTCATTTGCTAGAACTGATTAAGAAACGTAGGACCGCCCTAACTGGTTTGGCTCAGTGGATAGAGCATCAGCCTGCGGACTGAAGAGTCCCAGGTTCGATTCTGGTCAAGGGCATGTACCTTGGTTTTTGGCACATCCCCAGCAGGGAGTGTGCAGGAGGCAGCTGATCGATGTTTCTCTCTCATCGATGTTTCTAACTGTCTATCCCTCTCCCCTCCTCTCTATAAAAAATCAGTAAAATGTATTTTTAAAAAAGAGAAACATGGACCTAAATAAATCTGACTCGTTTTTAAAGAGAAAGAAACACAATTTTTCACATGAACATAAGGGTTATAACATTTTACTTCAACAATATAGATCTGGTGGCTCTCTATATATTCCCCACAAAAAGGGTAATGAGAATCACTAACAGTCAGTCCTGACATCATTGAGACAGTAAACCAAAGCCAGTAATTGCCTATCTGCAAATTCCTGTAGAATATGAGGGGGGCAAGTGTCTATTATGACACCTTGAAAGCACTGTGATACTGCAATTGTTACAGAACCAGACTCAAAACCAGCAAAGCATCTTGGTTTAGTACCTGGTAACAGAAAGTCTGTGACCTCCTATCTGCTTGGTCTCCACAGCAAGGTTCCCTCCCTCCTCCCCTCTCCCCCACTTTTTCTTTTCAGCTTTGTTACATAATCTGAAAAGCTCCCTTTTGACCTTTCAAGCAGAAAGCTTAACTCTAATTCTCCCCCTTTTTGTGTGGGGCAAACTACCAGTTGACTCTGCTTGCTTTCAACCCTGGAGCCATTGCTTCTGCTCTACTTGGCACTTTGCATTACCTATTCATTCCTGGTTCACAAAGATATTTATTTTGATGCTGAGCCTGCTTTTATTATTATTTTTTGGTGTTATAATATTACCATCATTGCTAATGTATTCAGAGTACAAGAACAAGTGAAACAACTCAACCAGCCTGGCTCAATGATTGAGTGTCAACCACGGGCCAATTCCTGGCCAGGGCGCATGCCTGAGTTGTGGGCTCGATCCCCAGAGAGGGTCGAGCAGGAGGCAGCCAATCAGCGATTCTCCTTTATCATTGATGTTTTTATCTCCCTCTCCTTTTCTCTCTGAAATCAATAAAAATATATTTTTTAAAATAAAAAGGGGAAACAAAGAAATGTACCATTTTGATAGGAAGTCATCTATGTTTTTATCTTTTATTCCTAATAAGTCTAGTCCTGTATCATTTTTGTTTTTACTAAAGCATAAACTATGAATTAATTTCAAGTAATGACCAATAATTGAAAAGCATTTTCTTATATTATCATTTATCTCAAATGATACACATTTAAATTACTTACCAATACTATGAAATTGCCATCGCTGATGAATTCTTTCCGGAAGAAGTTGTAAAATTTTCTAAAAATCAACATAAATAAAACAACAAAGAAAAAAAGAATGAAAACCAAGGAATGAGTCCACATTCTGTGCAATATGAAAAATTAAAGAGCTTACACTAAAGCTTTGAGTTTCTTACGTAAAAGGTAGTATTACAAATACAAGTTAGTCTTTGAGCTAAGCTGATAATACTGGCATTATTTCCGAAATGGCATATAATCAACATTTGAAAACCCCCAAAACAACAAACTATACTAATAAAGACATGAAACAGTAAATTAATTTTAACTTTTACAATGATGTGGAAAGTAAATATATTTCTCCATAGTGATTAAATACTAAGTGCAAAATATTTCAAAATGCTTATTTAGCATTCTTGGAATTTCTGCATTGTAGATACTACTGATAAATTTTTAAATTCTTTCAGATGTTAAGATTTGTGACATTTTCTCTTTTCAAGTAATTCTTTCTGCTGTTTTGATAAATCATGAGGAAATATTTTGATTTCACAAAAATCCCATGAAATATGTATACTGAGTTAACATATGCAAACCCAAACGCACTTACATGTTATGATAACTATAGGCTGAAGAACAAAATTTTTAAGTTCAAAAGACCTATTTAGCTAAGCTAATATAGGTTTCTAGTAATTGGAAATAAACACTTTTTACATATAATATTTTCATAATTTTGCCTTTAATTTCATTTACGTATTGCATATGTGTGGATTATTCTAAATCCACAGCTGCTGTATGTACTATGCTGCTGAACTAAGCTCTTAGTACTCTACTTACTAAATGACACTTGTGTGTGTTTGGTGTTACTACTGCTCTTACTACTATAGTTATTAGAAACACCATTAATTGGATGTTCATAAAGGCTAAATACTAAACTAGACACTTTATATAATTATATCTTATTAATCCTCACACCCAACCTAAGAAGAGTTTATTAATCTCATTTGACAAATGAGAACATGCATTAAGTAATGTGCTTAGGTTAGAAAGTAAAAGAGGCCCTAACAGGTTTGGCTCAGTGGATAGAACGTCAGCCTGCGGACTGAAAGGTCCCAGGTTTGATTCCGGTCAAGGGCATGTACCTTGGCTGCGGGCAACATCCCCAGTAGGGGGTGTGCAGGAGGCAGCTGATTGATGTTTCTCTCTCATCAATGTTTCTAACTCTCTATCCCTCTCCCTTCCTCTCTGTAAAAAAATCAATAAAATATATTTTTAAATAAATAGAAAGTAAAAGAGCCCGGCTGGTGTGGCTCAGTGGGTTGAGCGTCATCCCATGCACCAAGAGGTTGCTGGTTTGATTCCAGGACAAGGCATATGCCCGATTCCCAGTGAGGGGCATGCAGGAGGCAGCCAATCAATGTTTCTAACTTCTCTCCCTCTCCCTTCCTCTCTCTCTAGAATATCAATAAAAAACATATTTCTTAAAAAAGAAAGCAAAAGATATGCCTATTTCTAAAATTTGTGCTTTTATACAATTCTGCTCAAACGATAGTATACATGTTTTACTCTTCTCTCATACGATCTCACACAAGAAGAAGATGAAGAAATTACAAAGTTCTTCACAGATCAATGCCGGTCTCACATGAGATACATAAACTTCTTTACCTTTGCTCTTTTCATATTTCTCTCATAGAGAGCCAACAATTGCATAATTATAATTATTTTGAAAAGCAATAAAATTTTTTTGAACGGACAAGTTTATGATTATTCAAAAGCATTCCTAAATTATGACTATGAAATTATAATTTAGACTTAATCCCTTATAATATGTAAATGAACATGTCTACATGTTTTTATGTGGTTAATATAAAAATGAATGAAATTTTGTGTACTCTTAACTGCACAGAAAACATCTTACACCATATTTTTAATATTACATAATGAAGTTTTTTTTGTTTTTTAAATATACTTTTATTGATTTCAGAGAGGAAGGAAGAGGGAGAGAGAGATAGAAACATCAATGATGAGAGAGTATCATTGATCGGCTGCCTCCTGCACACCCCCTCTTAGGGATCGAGCCTGCAACCCAGGCATGTGCCCCTAACTGGAATCAAACCCGGGACCCTTCAGTCCACAAGCTGATGATCTATCCACTGAGCCAAACCACCTAGGGCAAAGTTTTTTTATTCCAAAAGGAAGAGATCACTTTATAATTTCTTCATTAAGAAAATTATCATTAGTCTCCAAAGGAATAATATTTATTGTCTCCACTATAAGTAGAAAATATAAGCACACAAATTAAATTTTTTTCAAAAGATGAAAACCCTGTATCTAACATCATTTTTTCCTAATAAAATTTAGTGAATCATTAAAGACAAAGATTACTGTTCAAAGAATAATTATATAGGGTGTACCAAAAATATGTATACATAAACTTTAAGTAATTATGAAGGCAGTGTTTATTAAAATACATTGTATTTTTAAAACCAAGCTATCAGCTGTTAGTGTGTATAAATTTTTGGGATACCCTGTATATCTACACTAATAAAAGAGAAACATGCAAACTGCGTCACTCCACTATGCCCACCAGCCAATCAGATGAGTATGCAAATTAACCTAACAAAGATGGTGGTTAATTTGCATATGCAGGCACAGAGCGAAGACTAGAAGGGAGCCAAGTGCTGCAGAAGGGAGCAAAGCTGCAGAGAAGCAAGCGGGGCAGCAGAGGCGGGAGGGAGCAAGCGGGGCGGCGGAGGTGGGAGCGAAGCCCTTCTCAGCGGTTTTGCTCCCTTCTATGCTTCACTCAGCCGCAGGAAGCCCTATTCTTGCAGGTATCTTCCTGCAACGGGCCTCTAGTTACGTATAAAAAAATAGATATTACTTTTTAATAGAAGAAATATCTTGAAAAGCTTCTATTACCTTATTAATCATTTCAGTTTCCAGAATACAAAGTAAGCATGAATGAACACTTTCTAGCAATTATCATCTTGCTTACTCTGTGGCTACTTTTATTCGATCTCAAAACATCTATGTTTTAGTATTTTCCTTGGAAACAATTCAGGGAAACACTTGAGGAGGTAAATATGAGCGATTTCTTCAGGGGTAATGACTAATGAAATTGAATGCAGGACAGGTACCAACATCAGTTACCTCTATCTGGAACCTTGAAAAAAAATAACTTTCTTTTTCTAGCTGTGACTAAATCAATATAAATCAACAGCTAAGAGAGATATCAAATTGCTCAAATTCTTCCAGACTATATCAAAAAACAAAGCAATGAATTATCTTTAATTCACTGCACATAGAACAGCTCAATCTTTAAAAGTGATTTCCAAATTCTTTACTATGCCTTTCAAGCCACAAGGTCTAAACCTGACTTTCTCCAGATCTCTGAATTCTGGATAAAGATCCGAAAACTCCTATCACTGTTTGATTTCAAAGACAAAAGGAAGAACAAAGAGTTATTTTAAAAGCAGGCATGCAGTGGGTGTGGGTGAGGGCACCCTAATTTTTATTAATGTGGTAAAAATAAAAGACTCGTTTTAGCAAAGTATCAAATGTTATTGTTTCCTTCTTTTTATTTAGCAATAAAGACTTGTCCTACACCACTCCAAAATAATATAGTTTATAAAATATTTAAAACTATTTTATACAAGTTTGCAATGAAAACTACTTAAAGCAGAAACTATAAATTCCTTAGTTATATAACAGTTCCATAAAGTTATCCTTTCAGGTAAAAATGTTTTAGAATTTTAAAAAACCCTGGCAGGGATGGGAGAAACCAAGATGGAGGCATAGGTAAACACCTGAAATTGCTGCCTCACACAACCACTTCAAAAATACAACTAAAAGATAAAATGGACATCATCCAGAACCACAGGAAGGCTGGCCAAGTAGAAATTCTACAACTAGAACGAAAGAGAAAAGCATACTGAGACTCAGAGGAGGTTCGGAAGTAAAGTGCAGAGGTACGGAGGCGCACGTGGAAAGGGCTGGCAACTGAGGACACAGTTGTTTATCAATCGGAAGGGAGTCACAAGCCCCCGACTGCTCTGAACTCCAGTTCTGGGTGAGTCTCTGGGGACCCAGACTCATACGGAGAGAAACTGGACTGTCTGGCATCGGGCAGAACTCGAGTGCGGCTTTCTCTCAGAGGTGCTTGCAGCAATTACCGTGGGACACTGAGACGCAGGGCCCCTTAGGGTAGGACTGAGGATCAGCCATAGCTGTTTGCTCCGCCCTGTTGATTCCCTGAGACCCCACCCCACCCAAGCTGTATGCAGAGGCTTTTGCATATGAAAGGCCTGGCCCTTTGCAATCTGAAAATTACCTAACAAACTGCAGTTGGGTCAGAGAGACCCAGAACTTCCAAAAGAAGGCCCAAGGCCCCACAGCAGCTTGTATTGCTTCACAGCTGGGCCTCATCTGGGCACCTCCAAACCCCAAAGAAAAAAGAGGAATCTGCAGATCTCTCCATAGTTCCTGCTGGGTAGCCTCAGGCAGAGGCTAAATTAGCACCTCCTTAGATCCAAGAGCCAGTGTACCCAGTGGTCAGAGTGGGACCATCCAATTACAACTCCTCAGACCCATAAGGGACACACTCAGGGGGGCAGACTCAGTGAGCACCAAAGCCCCAGTGAAGCAAGTCTTGCCCCAGAGGGGTGTCTTAAGCACAGAAGTTCTCCACCATAGACACAAGTGACTCTCACAGACAACTGGCCTGGAGGTCAATTCCTGCCACTGATACCAGCAACAATCAAGGCTTAACTACAAAAAGACTGTGCACACAGCCCAAAAAGGTGTGCACCGAGAGTGTCCACCTCAGGTAATTGGGGAGGCTGAGCCACTGGGCCCTACAGGACATGCAACAGAAAAAGCCACTCTATCAACACAGGGAAGCATGAAAAATGCGGAGACAAAGAAACAGGTCACAAAAGACAGAAACGGAGGAAAGCAAACAACTGGATATAGAGTTCAAAACCAGGGTTATAAGATTTTTCGAGAATTTTCTAGAAACCGCCGATAAATTTAGTGAGTCCCTTGAGAATATGAAAAAGGACCTACTAGAAATTAAGCATACACTGACTGAAATAAAGAATATACAGAGATCCAACAGCAGACTAGAGGATCACAAGAATCAAGTCAAAGATCTGAAATTCGAAGAAGCAAAAAACACCCAACCAGAAAAGCAAAAAGAAAAAAGAATCCAAAAATATGAAGATAGTGTAAGGAGCCGCTGGGACAGCTTCAAACATACCAACACCCGAATTATGGGGGTGCCTGAAGAAGAGAGAGAGCAAGATATTGAAAACCTATTTGAAGAAATAATGACAGAAAACTTCCCCTACCTGGTCAAAGAAATAGACTTACAAGTCCAAGAAGCGCAGAGAACCCCAAACAAAAGGAATCCAAAGAGGACCCCACCAAAACACATCATAATTAAAATGCCAAGAGCAAAAGACAAAGAGAGAAACTTAAAAGGAGCAAGAGAAAGAAACTCAGTTACCTACAAGGGAGTACCCATACGACTGTCAGCTGATTTCTCAACAGAAACTTTGCAGGCCAGAAGGGAGTGGCAAGGAATATTCAAAGTGATGAATAGCAAGAACCTACAACCAAGATTACCCTACCCAGCAAAGCTATCATTCAGAATTGAAGGTCAGATAAAGAGCTTCACAGGTAAGAAAAAGCTAAAGGAGTGCATCACCACCAAGCCAGTATTATATGAAATGCTGAAAGGTACCCTTTAAGAAGAGGAAGAAGAAAAAGGTAAAGATAAAAATTATGAACAACAAATACATATCTATCGACAAGCGAATCTAAAAATCAAGTGAATAAAAAATTTGATGAACAGAGTAAACTGGTGAATAGAATAGAATCAGGGTAATAGAAAGGGAGTGGACTGATAATTCTCGGGGGGAAAGGGGTGTGGGGGGTGCAGGAAGAGACTGGACAAAAATTGTACACCTATGAATGAGGACAGTGGGCGGGGGGTAAGGGCAGAGGGTGGGGTGAGAACCAAGGGGGAGCTGGGGCGGGGGGGTCGGGGGGGGGGGGAACAACTGTAATAATCTGAACAATAAAGATTTAAAAAAAAAAAACAAAAAAAAACCCTGGCAGGTACGGCTCAGTTGGTTAGGCTTCGTCCCATGCTTGGAAGGATTGTTGGTTCAATTCCTGGTCAGGGCACATGCCAGGACTGTGGACTTGATCCCCTGATAAGGGGAATACAGGAGGCAGCTGATTGATGTTTCTCTCTCTCCCTCTCCCCCCCTTCCTCTCTAGTATCAATAAAAATATTATTTTTAAAAAAACCCATTTATGTAAACCTTCCTCAAATTAAAACTTTCATTGTTTACAAACATATTTTTATATATACATATATATGTGTGTGTGTGTGTGTGTGTGTGTGTATGTATATATATATATATATATATATATATATATATATATACTATAGGCCCAGTGCACAGATTCGTGCACTTGGGCGGCCCCTCAGCCTGGCCTGCACCCTCTCGCAATCCGGGACCTCTCAGGGGATGTCAGACTGCTGGTTTTGGCCCAATCCCTGGGGAGCGGGCCTAAGCCGGCAGTTGGACATCCTTAGCACTGCCATGGAGGTGAGAGAAGCTCCTGCCACTGCGGCTGCGCTCGCCAGCTGTGAACCCGGCTTCTGGCTGAGTGTGCTCCCCTTATAGGAGCGCACTAATCACCAGGGGGCAGCTCCTGCATTGAGCATCTGCCCCCTTGTGGTCAGTGCGCATCATAGCAACTGGTTGTTCCGCTGTTTATTTGATTTGCATATTACCCTTTTATTATGTAGGATACCAATTTCCTGGTGTCAAATGTGTGAAAACATAATTGTATCTATACCTAAAAATAATATATGTACCTCAAAAAATAAAGAATTAAGGCAAGTATATTTTTTTAGTTTAAAAAATGTAATTCAGTTTTTGAAAAGCACAGCAGATTCAGTATTTTATTTATTTAATATATTTGTATTGCTTTCAGTGAGGAAGGGAGAGGGAGAGAGAAACAACAATGATGAGAAAATCACTGATTGGCTGCCTTCCTCACACCCCACAATGGGGATGGAGCCCGCAATCCAGGAATTTTCCCTGATTGGGAATCGAACTATGACCCCCTGATTTACAGGCTGACACTCAACCACTGAGCAATACCAGCCAAGCCACAGTGTTTTATTATATAGTTTATAGTTCAATGTATTCCTTTGTATGATCCAGGTACTACTTCTGTAAAGAACAAAGATTAGCAGGTTCTTACCTCAAAAATAAAAAGTATAGCATCCAATTCCTCCCTTTGAGACTTGTGACCTAAAACATTTTTACAGAGAAATATTTTAAACATTATCATTTTATCCTCACTGTTAACAACCACTTAAATACTCTAACATGTCTCGCACTAAAATTTTTTCTGTGATTTCTTAAAATCAAATGGTTAAAAGTATATTCTGTTCAATGTGAACACAGTATCACAGCATCTCTGTCTACTCTTTTTCAACAACTAAAATTAGACTACACATATTTATGTCTAAAAACAAGTCATAATATATTGGGGAAAACTTTAAATGAACTCTGAAACTAAAAATATAAAAATGACTGCTCAAACCTGATACAAGCCTCTAGGGCAGACCAAAGAATGTGAGGAAACAAGCAAATCATTCCAGAAAAAAAGCAAATCTGTTAAGCCTTTTCAAAATAATAATAGTACTATGAACCCATAGTTGTGCAAGGAGTATTAAAAGCTGTCTGCAAAAAAAAAACAAAAACAAACAAACAAACAAAAAAAAAACAGCCAATGTCCAAGAGTCTATTTTAAAGTGAAAATATATGACAATTGTTGGAAACATCAACATAAACCAGAACCAATTATTAACATCTTACCTTTCTGTTTAAGACTAGCTTCAATAGTCACGAAATTCTCAAAGAACACATAATATATATGTGAAAAATGTTGGTCAAAAAACTGCTTGAGATCGATAGACTCTGCATTCTCTGAAAAATAAATGAAAACAATTTTAGTGATTACTATTTACAAATATATGTTAAACTAGAGGCTCGGTGCACAAAAATTTGTGCACTCGGGGGAGGAGGGAGGGTCCCTCAGCCCAGCCTGTGCCCTCTCACAGTCTGGGACCCCTCGGGAGATAACGACCTGCTGGCTTAGGCCTGCTCCCGGGTGGCAGAGGGCAGGCCCAATCCCTAGGTGCAGCCCGTTTGGGCTCAGAGCAGGGCCAATTGGGGAGCTGGGGCGCCGCCCCCTGTCATGCACAGAGCAGGGCGGATGGGGAGGTTGCAATGCCACCCTCAGTCACGCTCAGGGTAGGGCCGATTGGGGGGTTGGGGCACCGCCCCGTCACACTCAAGGCAGGGTCGATAGGGAGGTTGCGGCGCCACCCCGTCACACACAGAGCAGAGCCGATGAGGGGTTTGGGACGCTGCCCCGTCACGCACAGAGTAGGGCCGATCAGGGGGGTTGGGCTCCTTACCCTGTCACGCACAGAGCAGGGCCGATCAGGGGGTTGGGGAGCTCCCACCTGTCACGCACAGAGCAGGGTCAATGAGGGGGTTGGGGAGCTCCCCCCAGTCACGAACAGAGCAGGGCCCATCAGGGGGTTGAGGAGCTCCCCCGTCACTCACAGAGTAGGGCCGATAGGGGAGTTGGAGTACCGGCCCCTGTCACACACAACGCAGGGCGGATCAGGGGTTTGGTGCGCCGCCCTCTATCACCCACAGAGCAGGGCCGATCAGGGGGTTGGGGCACTGCCAGTGTCACACTCAGGGCAGGGCCAATGGGGAGGTTATGGCTCTACCCCGTCACACACAGAGCAGGGCCCGTGGGGGCGGGGGTTGGGACGCCGCACCCTGTCACACACAGAGCAGGGCCGATCAGGGGGTTGGGGCGCCGCAGCCTGTCACACACAGAGCCGCAGGGCGATCAGGGGGTTGGGGAGCTCCCCCGTATCAGGCACAGAGCAGGGCTGATCAGTAGGTTGGGGCGCCTTCCCCTGTCAGGAACAGAGCAGGGCAGATAGAGAGGTTGTGGCCCTGCCCCCTGTCACACACAGAGCCACAGGGCGATCAGGGGGTTTGGGCACTGCCCCCTGTCACGCTGATCCCGGTGCCGGAAGGCCTCTTGGCTCTGCTGATCCTGGTGCTGGGAGGCATATTACCCTTTTACTATATAGGATAGAGGCCTGGTGCATGGGTGGGGCTGGCTGGTTTGCCCTGAAGGGTGTCCTGGATCAGGGTGGGGGTCCCCACTGGGGTGCCTGGCCAGCCTGGGTGAGAGGATGATGGCTGTTTGCAGCTGGTCACACACCCTTCAGGGTGGGGGTCCCCACTGGGGTGCCTGGCCAGCCTGGATGAGGGGATGATGGCTGTTTGCAGCTGGTCACACACCCTTCAGGGTGGGGGTCCCCACTGGGGTGCCTGGCCAGTCTGGGTGAGGGGCTGAGGGCTGTTTTCATGCTGGCGGGTGACGGAAGCTCCCAACCGCTCCTTTTTTTCTTTTTATTCTGGGCCAGCTTTAGCTCTGAGGCTCCAGCTCTTAGGCCTCCGCTGCTGAAAGCAGGTATCTGGTTTGTCTGTGTTCTATAATCGAAACATTGTATAACTCCAGCTCTGAGATCCCGGGCTCGCTGAAAGCAGGGTTCTGGGGTTTTGTTTAGCTTCTATATTTGTTACAATGTTTCAAACTGCAGGCTCAGAGGCCGGCAAGGCAGGCGCGGAACGTTGGTTTCCTCGGTCACTGAAGCAAGCAAGCCTCATGTTAGTTTCAAGCTGCCTGGCTGCCAGCGCCATCTTGGCTGGCAGTTAATTTGCTTATCTCCCTGATTAGCCAATTGGAAGGGTAGCGGTCGTACAGCAATTACCATGTTTCTCTTTTATTAGATAGGATTCTGTTCAGTAGATATGACAGTGACAAGTTTCCTTTAAAGATTTTAGCTTTAATTTTATAAAATGATTTAGTCATCATAATCTTCATTTTGCAAAAGAAAACAATGTCTCAGAAAGACTTATTCAAAACCATTAACCAAACCAAAAAAAGAAGCCAAGTTCCATTTTTAATTCACAAATATGCCGCTAACTTCTCCATTAAGACAGTTTAAAATCAGTATTTCCATGAGTAATAATGTATTGTGCCTAAAATACATGTTTTCTAAATAGGTATCTAACAACATGTTTTATAAATAAGTATTTTAAGTATGATAAAGCTTAAATACAGATAATAGGGCTCTAAAAGAACTGTCAGTGTAGTCCAGGACACACAAAACTAAACATACAAGAGTGGGCTTACAGTTGTGAGTATGTGAAACAGAGTTTATTCTTGTATTAACTAGTGGCTCAGTGCACAAAATTCGTGCATGGGGGTGGGGAGGGGGTTCCCTCAGCCCAGCTTGCACCCACTCCAATGGGGGACCTCAGAGGAATCAGGCCTAAACTGGCGGTCAGACATCCCTCTCGCAATCTGGGACCACTGGTTCCTAACTGCTCACCTGCCTGCCTGCCTGATCGCCCCTAACTGCCTCTGCCTGCCTGCCTGCCTGCCTGATTGCCCCTAGCTGCCTCTGCCTGCCTGATTGCCCCTAACTGCATCTGCCTACCTGCCTGATTGCCCCTAACTGCCTCTGCCTGCCTGCCTGATTGCCCCTAACTGCCTCTGCCTGCCTGCCTGCCTGCCTGCCTGATTGGCCCTAACCCCTCTACCTGCCTGCCTGCCTGATTGCCCCTAACTGCATCTGCCTGCCTGCCTGATCGCCCCTAACTGTCCTGCGCTGCCGACCTGATCTCGCCCCCAACTGCCCTTCCCTGCCGGCCTGATTGCCCCCAAATGCCTCTGCCTGCCTGATCACCCCTAACTGCCCTCCCCTGCCAGCCTGGTTGCCCCCAACTGCCCTCCCCTACCTGCCTGATCTCACCCCCAACTGCCCTCCCCTGCCGGCCTGATCGCCCCTATCTGCCTCTGCCTCGGCGCCCACCACCATGGCTTTGTCTGGAAGGATGTCGGATGTCCAAAAGATGGCTGGTTGACCTGGTCTAAACAGTATATTAACCTTTTATTAGTATAGATAGATTATATAGGATAGGATTGCTTAAATGGGGGGGGGGTGCTTTTTCAGCAGAAGATGCTCTTGACAGACAAAAACACATAATCCCTATATCTGGACTGATAGACAGCCATATGCACTATACTGCCAAATCGGTCATCAAAAAATTGAACTGCTTTCTTACACCTTACACCAAACAGCTGTTGCCCTTAAAACCCCTCCTCAGCCCCCACCTTAGGTTCTGCCTTTGCAGTTCATCCACATTAGGTTCAGATTGGTTGGTTTCTATGCCAGTAAGCATCAAAAACCCCACCTTCTAGGCAGCCATTGGCTCCACACACTTCACCCAGATTTGGTTCTGACTGGCCGGTTTCTATGCCAGTCAGCGTCAAAAGCTCTGCCTCCTAGGCAGCCATTGGCTCCTGGCACTTCATCCAGATTTGGTTCTGATTGGTCTGTTTCTATGCCAGTCAGCATCAAAAGCTCCACCTCCTAGGCAGTCAGTGGCTCCTCACACTTCACCCAGATTTGGTCCTGATTGGTCGGTTTCTATGCCAGTCAGCATCTCCGGGCATGATCAAAGAGGCGGGGCTGATCAGCAGTCTGGCAGAGGCCCAGAGAGAAACAAATGCACAGCTGCTGGTGAAGCCAGGAGAGAAAGAAAGAGGCAACGGCTGATCAACAGCTGCCACTGAGGTTGCAGATCAGACCCTGCCTCTCTCTATGCAGGCCTCTCTCCGGGCCTGATCCGTAGCCCCCTTGGCAGTTAGTGCTGGGTCACTGCCCCAGCACCGGCTGCAGTCAGCACTGGGTCGCCACAGCAACCCAGCACTGACTTCCGTATCAGGTTGAGCCTTCGGTCGTTAAGGACGCTGGCTCTTTATACATAAAGATTATTGTATTACTTGTTTGTATTACAACTGTAAACCTACTTTTGCCCACTCCTGTATAATTGTACCCACAGTAGAAAGTGTTAGAATCTGAAAATGAAGTGACAAAGTATAATGCCAATTTAGAAACACAAAATTTCTTTCAAAGCTCAATGAGAGGTGAAAGTGAAGGAAAAAAATGCCTGAGGATATATTCCTTATAAAGACCTTTAAGGATAGAAGGACTCTGGATATGAGTTGGTGGGGTTTAACGGGAAGGGCATTCTACACATGAACACATAGAGTGATGAACATGTTAAGTGTAATAGGATTCAGAAAATATGATTCATTTTGGCTAGAGCTTAAGAGCATTTTAATAAAAATGAAACACTGAAATTTCATACCAACTAATTTCAAAATCAGTTGCTGATTCGTTGACTTGCATATTTGCTACTGAAACCAAGTCTCAGTGTAGCCCAATGCATTCATGGCATAGAATCAAAACTCCTGGAGATAATGCTTTCATTGTATACTTTATGACAGAATACCTGCAAGACTAAAGACATTCTAATCATTCTAAACATCTTTTTCCCCTTATCCACCACTCCGTGTCTTTCTTATTTTACCAACACAATGTATGTCAAATCTGTACCAGTTCACACTCTCAATACCTGGCAGGGGAGGGCAGTTGGGAGAGACGAAGCCGGCAGGAAAGGGCAGCTGGGGGCGAGATCAGGCCTGCAGGGGAGGGCAGTTGGGGGTGAGATCAGGCTGGCAGGGAAGGGAAGTTAGGGACAATCAGAGGTAGTTAGGGGCAATCAGGCCAGCAGGGGTGAGCAGTTAGGGACAAGATCAGGCCAGCAGGGGAGGGCAGTTAGTGGCGATCAGGCAGGCAGGCAGAGGAGTTAGGGGCAATCAGGCAGGCAGGTAGGTGAGCAGTTAGGGGCTAGTGGTCCCAGATTGCGAGGGATGTCCACCAAGGGGTCCCCAACTGGAGAGGATGCAGGCTGGGTTGAGGGAACCCCTCCACCGCCGTGCACAGATTTATGCACCGGGCCACTAATATGTATATAAA